TCCAGTTGGAGGGTAACTGGTGTGCCATTGATACATAGTGTGACGAATTTACGACGACCAGGTGATTTCATCCTGAATGTTGCGGTCATAGCCTCTGCCTGCGTCCTTCTGTCGGGTCGGTGTTTGCGCGAGATCCTGAAGTTGTCTCTGCAGCATTCTTCTTTGTGACCCTTTCGACTGCACTTACTGCACCTGTGGTTCCGGTAGGGACAGTGGCGTGAATAGTGCCATTCTTCACAAAACCAACAGGGTGTGGGCGGTTTTCTTGGAGTTCGTTTTGAACTTGACTTCCTTTTGGAAGTTACTTTGCATACCATATCCGGCTGAGATAATTTGGAATGTCCAATCATGGCAGCATCAGCCTTGAGATTGATAAGATGCTGGCATTCGGTGGTAAGTTTCTGAAGCGTCAACTCTGGATCCTGTTCAATTCGATTCAGTAGCCGGGTCCGAATATCTGCATCGTGTGGTGATTGAAGACCAGCCACAAAGATGAGACACTTGAATTGATCCTCGGTCATGGAGCTGAGCTGAAAGCGCTCGCATTCTCTGTTGACCACACCGGCATATGTGATGAAATCCTCAGTATCCCTTTTGATAATCTTGAGACACTGATAACGAATATCGAACAAGGAACTTTGTTCACCGAATATTTGGGCCAGAATTTTGACAGCATCTGCGAAACCAAGGTCACGAGGGAGTTTGGGGAGAATGAAATTTGTGAACCGATCGTGTTCAGCTGTCCCCAGTTTCCGCAGCAACAGACGAACTTTCCACGCATCATCAAACTGAGCAAAGTCGGTTTGAAACATGTCTTCATATTTCTTGAACCAACTTTCGAAAGTTCGTCCAGATTCAGCATCAAAATTGAATTCGGTAATTGAGCTGGCAGCAGCATCTGCGGAAGAAGACGGAGGCTCACCCTTTTTTATCGCATTCACCGACATACTGCGCATCAGAGATTCAACAAGCCTCAGTTGTGCTTCTTCGAACTGCTTCTGTTGTTGCTGTAAAATTAATTGGAGTTGCTCTGCCGAAATTGACATCGTGGGTTCGGGTTGTCGCCAGTTGTTATAACTTGCTGGACGGTAGTGCAACTCTGTGTCGGTCCCTTGGCTTCCTGCTCCACCCACTATGGTATAGCAAAAGGCACGGTAGCTCTACACAGCCCTTTATGGAGACAAAGGAAAATCATCACAACTGTATATATATAGGGTAATCACGGAGTGTTCCACAAGGTCGTGCCAGAATGTCCGTGAGGGGGCGAGAACCGTCGAGTCAAGGTGCTTGGCTCGGATTGGCTGGCATTCTGACCAATCAGGGCATGCCCACGTCTGGCCCGTGTCCTGCACGTGACATGCGTCCAAATGATGTGATGTTCGGTTATTAGGGACGGCTGGCCCCCGAACACATAATCTCAAGGTGTTTGTGTGAGAATTCTGTTGGTAAACTAAAGGCGTATGAAGATGCATGGTGTAACCGAACTATTGCAGAACTTACCTTAAACTGGGATAAAACGGCAGATTTCCTTATGGCGTGTGATCATTGCTGTACCTAGTCCAGGTGACGTTTGAGATACTTTTGTACGAGATAGGAATTGAACACACCTCGTGGACGCGTGCTTAAAAATTACGTCCTAAATTGAAATGGTCTCAATGGTGTTTTGCACACTACATGTTGCAGGATACAAACACTTCGGCAACACGCCGGCCGAGCAGAGTATCACATAGCACTGGCACATGATATTAATTCAATTAGCCTACTAATCGACGAATGAAAACTGACTGAGACTGAGAGATCCATTAACCCCGACATAACCATTGGTTGACTATTACGTCGTTTTTACTGTGTGTATTTCTCAACGGTAAACCATAAATGAGCACATTTAGGTTTGACTTGTAACTTGTGTAGTTATATACGGGCGACAGGTATTACCGAAATATCTTCGGGTTTCAAAATTGTATCACATTATCATTGATAGCAACAGTTGTACGCAGCCACCAACTCTTCTAGCTGCTGACACCCCTGTGAGAGACAGGTTGAAATTACCACCTAGCCAATGATGTCAGTAAGGCGCATTTTCACCATACATACGTAGTTGTACCGAAGCTGGCGGAGTCATTTTGGTCGAGTCTAGATAGGCTATGTAAATAAAACCGTGAAAATGAGCATAAAAGAAAGAGCCTGGGTTTTAACTTCATGCTTTCTAAGTTGTCAAAATTCAAGGCTTTTTACGCCCCTCACCAAACGCAGGGACAGACATTTGTGAGATGTAGGTGCGGATCTGAGTTATTCCAGGAGCTTACTGATTCCACCCAGTTTCTAAATTTGACTACCTTCATGTGCCAAATAACAGGAAATTCTAGTTTTCACAATCTGTTCAGTGTTTTTTTCGGCACGAGTTCCGCCTTGTGGAAAAACTTGTACATCCTATCAGAACTGCAAGACATGAACGGACGTATTTTATCCTGTACCTATGCTAGCACGATGGCTGGGACACAGTTCTGTAACTACGCCAGAAATCTGTCTGACCTTTTATACGGGAGTCTTGAGGTGTCTAAATCGAACATTTACAACAGTCGGGAAGAGACAATCAATCTGGAAAGGACAATACTTTTAATCATTCTGAGTATTTTTTGTGATTCAAGTATAAATAAGCTGAAAGACAGGAGTAGGAAAAAGAGAAAACAATGGTAAGACGGCGAAGAGTGAAAATCGAGTAAGTCCTGCTAGCTACGCAGTAGACAGATTTTGCGTAATGAAAAAGAATATACACACAAAAAGAAACAACCAGTGGGTGCAGCGTAAGAGTAACACAATGTGCTTGATTTGTGATATGATAAAAGTTTCATGTTATTCCACTGTGAATCAAGCTTCATCTGTTGCAGACGATGACATGGCCACGTTCACTATTGCAAGTTTGATCATACGCACAGCTTCACCAGCCTTTGGGATGAACAAGCGGTCTCGTAACCCTAAAGTTTGCTCATTCAGTCGCAAAAGATCAGCTGAATCTATGCCAGAATAGTGGAATGTGATACACTCCGGTAAGCGTTTGTTAGCCGTAATGCGCGTAATCAAACCCAATGGAACCGAACGCAAGACAACCGCATGTCGCGGTCGTTTTGTAGACTGGAACGGCGGTGACTCGGTAGACCTCGTGAGAACCGACTGGATCGCCGACCCGATAGAACTGACCAACTGAGCAGTAGAGCGAGTCGTCTGGTTACGAAGGACCAACAGGTGTCGTTCAGCTAACACTAGACAGCCTTCACTTGAAAGACGACCGGAACTGTCGATTAACTGACATTCGAAGACCCCGCGCACCTCAGGGCGAGAAGACCATTGTGTTATATCAATTAAATCACCTGGTTCACTGCTATCCAGACCACCAGGACGTAAAGGACTATCGCCTTGTAACAGTGTGTTAGTCGATCGCACAGACCAGTTTTTAGACCAAAACGAGCTTTTGCGGGTAGTGTGTTTTTCGTTGACGGGAATAGTATCCAACGATTCAGGCGGATGTTCTTTACTAATCTCTCCTTCATCAGCCTCCTCATCAATACTGAAGACGGATGACGTGTTCCTATATGAGAGGGAGCGCAGAGGATTTGACCCAATATCCACTTTATGACACGAGTTTTTTCGTCCACTGTTTGGAGGTATATTCAGATCAGCGGATGGAACTTCAAACCTCTGGATCATTTTGTCGGGTTTCTTTGCTGATTGATTTGTATCTTTTATAGAAGGCTGACTGCCTTTGAAAATTGAGAGTTTAGAAAGTAGCCCTTCAACGGATTTGCCAGCTTTGTCCACAGTGGGAATCACATTCTGACCGGCAACAAGCCTCGCATTGGATACAATCCGATCCATCAACCCATTATCCTTTTTTGTGGGCTGTTGAGTCTTGCAACATAGACATTGCTGTGGATCATGATTAACAAGGTTACGTAACAAGTCGTTCGGCCCTAAGGATTCATGCACTGCAGAATATCCCCCCTCAATGAGACTAACGTATGGGGTATTCATTCGCAAGAATGCTGCTACAACAACATTGGTGACATTATCCTCAGCTTCACGACCACTACTCAAAAATGTTATGTGTTCCCCAGCAGCATGAGATCCAGCATCCAGAGCGCGTTTCTGCGATTGGAGCAAGGCCTGAAAGAAAAGAACAAATCAGGCATAAAAAAGCAGTACGAAATTCAAACCGTGAAGTAGGTCTGGGATTTTGAGATTTACGAAGTGCTTGAGGTAGCGCAGTACATGGTGGTATACCACAGGTGAGCAATAAAACAACTGGAGTTACTCGGAGTGTGAATTCCGCAAAACTAGCAGTGAGCCCCACGTAAATCTACACAACCAAAAAGTGTAGGTCGCGCAGGTGGATAACAGGCTACTGTTCTTTCAGGACAAGTTAAGAAATTCTCTTTGTCATGGCTGGCGAATTTTCGGATATCAGTGTTTTACCCAGAGTACAGGGACATGTATGTTTACGAAACTTTGCATAGGAAAAACTGGGGGAAAACGGTAAGGACTTAGTGAAAACGCTTGTGATCAAGGACGGACATCACTCCTATAGGTTCATTCATTGGGATGCCCGGAGCTAGTAAGCCAACGAGATGAGAAACAGTTTGTATGTACAGATGTTCATGCGTGTAACTGCATACCGGTGCTATACAAGGGAAGTTTCGAGAGGCATTGGAACATATCTGAATGTGGAGGTGGGAAAGTCATAAAGGATTGCTTGAGGCCCGTACAAGTATCTACCGGATTTCCAATCAACGTACCTACCAGAAAAGTGAACTGAATTACAGTGGGATCCGGCGCAAGGAGAATGAGGCGTTTCATGATGATACAGCACGCATCCATAAAACGGCAGGTGAACAATAAAATGTAAATCTCAAACCTCCGAGAAGTGGGAACACTCTTATATACTAGTTAGCAGCTTTTTTAGGAGGAAAGTCGTCGTATAACTGTATAAAAAAATCTGTCCAACTGTTCAAACCGTGTCAAGCCGAGGGAGACGATGCTATCAAGATATTTTATGCAATCAACTTGAGTTAGTGAACAATCATTGACGATAATCGGGGCGCGGTAATAAGTCAGACAACTTTGGGGTGACTATTCCGCCTGTGTGAACAGTCACAGTGCATTTAGATGGGCATGACTGTGATGCGGTTCACTGAGACAATCGCAAGGTGCTTCGAATCACTGTAAGCCATGTCGGAGGATGGTGTAGAATGGAGCAAAACGGCGGGCTCAGAAAATAAGTCGAAACAAGGGAAAAGTGAGATGATGGTAGGAAAATATTCGAAGGCCAGCCACCCTAATAACCGAACAGCACGTTAATCGGATGAATGTGTCACGTGCAGGCTACGGACCAAACGAAGGCATGCCCTGACTGGTCAGCATGCCAGCCAATCCGGATCGAACATCTTTAGCTCGACGCTATCGCCCCCCTACGGGGATTTCAGCACGACCTTGTGGAACATTCTGTGATAACCCCATAAATGCGGTTGTAATCATCTTTCCGTGTCTCCATAAAGGGCTGTCTGAAGGTACCATGCTCTTTGATATATCATAGTGAGCGGAGCAGGAAGCCAAGGGACCGATACAGAATTGCACGGCTGTCCAACAAGTTACAACAATAAAAGCACGGATCGAACGGCACAACTAACTGCGTGATACCGCCGAATCGGTGAGTACCCCTACCCGTTTGATGTGGTTTATGGCAACTAAGCACCGTAGATGACAAACACTATTTGGCATGGAACACTTAGGTTTCTCGCGTTTCGCCACCAGGTCACACGTTACTCGCCTGGCACGTTCTTTCAGTCGGGAATTGGCCAGGGTTGACAAACGTAAAATCTACACTAGATACATTGCACTGCACAGCATTCAACTCATAATAAATACTTTCATCCAACGCGAAGCAGCTAGCAAAACAAGTAAATCTGGTTGTGATTGCCTGAATAACTTACCAAGTAACGCAGCAGTGTGAACCGCCAGAATCCTCCTCTGCTATGAGGTGCTTTTCGGGTGGGGTTCCCCGTAAAGGATAGGTTAACGGACCAGTGACCAGCAGGCCGACATAACAACATGAAAACAGCAGCAGAGTATTAAAGGTACCCATGTCTACTCAACTTAGTAAGACTTACATGAACAGTAGATGCAAACTGAGAAGGCTCGGAAAGCATTAGCTCCGAGTCCAAGAAAAAGGCTGTGTTCAAATGTCCTGCATTATATTGGTCAGCCGGACGACAGTCGACCAACAGATAACGAATGGCAGGCTGAAGCTGGTTGCTCTCACACGCCATGAAAGGGTTCTTCAAGGCAGCCTGTGCCTCCAGTACTTCTTGCGCAGATACGGGCATGCATAAAGCACCTTGCACTAATTCATCCTTCGATTCGACGTCCGCTGGTGTATTGCTAAACAGCAGTGGAAGATAGCGACTACGGAAAGAGTAAGGTGTGCGCTGAGAGAACAATTGTGTGAGCTCAACCAGAGAACCAAGATCGTCCACCTGCATCGGTTTGGGTACATCAAGCACGGATGCGAGCACATAGTCTGTAACCGATGAAATATGCCATTAATTCAGCGAAAAGAAGCAAGATTCACAAAGGATTGCAACACAAGACGACGTGAATCAGTTAAGGGTTACTCCCTAAGATTGGAACAGAGTAAAGGAAAAAGTAAAACTAATTAATTAAAGAGGTTTCACTGGTAAGTGCTTCTCTAATGGGTATACCCAAACAAGTAAGCAGTTATTTGTGTAAATATTACTCACGTTAGCAAAGTACAGACGTTAGCCTATAGTAAGTATTCACGTATACCCATGCCAAAGCCAGCAGTGATGAGCAGTGTAGAATAATCGTGGAAAAATAGAAACCTAAATATTTCAGCTACGTAGACGTACCTGGTTTGAAAAGTGTGGAACCGTAGAGATACACGGTCAGGAAAATATATTGTCTGCCGAATCAATAATTGCACTCAAATGATCAAACGGGTCGGGGATGCACACAAATGCAAACAATATTAACTAATCTAAATAATTCTGCCTCCCGGTTCGGCATGCGCTTCACACCTGCAAAGTGTAAAGTGTTACTGAAAGACTTGGTGGGCTCGCACCCTAGCCTCACGCTTGCGGATGAACCGATTGAGGTAGTAGACAAATTTGTTTACCTGGGCAGCTGTATCAGTCCCGGTGGTCTCACGAAAGAGGAAATTTCCATCCGGATTGGAAAGGCCAGAGCAGCTTTTGCGAACCTACGTCACCTGTGGCGTAGGCGTGACATCAACTTCCCTGTCAAGGGTCGAGTTTACAATGCTGCGGTGCGCTCCATATTACTATATGGATCAGAAAC